TATTACAATTAATAATATATATTTTTTATATACAATACATTTACAGATTTGTTAAATATTACTTCAAGTGACCAAATGTAATGTATAAAAAAAATAGGAGATGCACAATTAAACATCATACACAAATTAACAATACATTTAAAAGTAACTGCTAAGCTCACAATTTAAAAAAAATAAAATACAATCAAAATTAGCCGATAACTGATGTAGGGGATTTTACTGCTACAGACCCAGATTTGATGAAAGAAGACCAGGAGTCAGAAGATGCAATCTTCAAAAGAAGAGTTTGCAGTTTCATCAGCAGAAGCCAGCTTCAACACTCAGCATGAACCTTAGACATATAGTTGTCTTGTACAGCTATTATGAATCTTGGCTAATTTGGTTCTATCATCAAATGAATTAATTGTCAAGAAAATACATATTTATTCTCTGGAAGCCGGGCTAAATGAGCAAGCACTGTTAATGTATTCTTGAAATGGATCAGACCCTCTGATACCAAATACAGATATTGCCTGTAACATAAATACCAGGATATATGTACACGTTTTTTTTAGTTTTTTTTTTAGGAAACTATGATTTCCAATTCATTATAGAATACAAGAAAATGAATTGTAAATCCACTCCTTTCACTGATTAGGGACAAAGATATTTTAGTTTATTCTTCCAATAACAGATTGTACCTCATTTGCCACTAAATACATCAGCTATACAGTAATCTGTATGTAGCTTGTATTTCTTTCTCTTTGCTTTTGGGGCCGGTGCCCTTTCTGAGACCACACTCTGACTGTGTCGTCTTCCAGTTAATAACTATTTGCTTTTGGGCCATGCTGCTTGTATGACAGTTTGTTTTTCCAAGGGTAAATATATCAGTATCGCAGTTTCGGTGTGAGATGTCACCGGCAGAAAATATCCAGGCTAGATTGTCTGACCAATCTAGGTTTGAGAAAACTGTGATTCCTCAACAGAATGGACATTTTTCGGTGCTGGTGTAATTCATTTCACACACGTCCAGGGCAGGTTTGAAAATTGGAGAGCTGTAATACATTCTGCCTCATTTTGGACTGACTCGCACGTAATAAGAGAAAGCAATCAATTGAAAGAACCATGACAACTGAGAAGAACATTAATGACATTAGGCCTATTATTGTGCCTGAAAGTGGACTACATGATTGGATGCTGCCTGCGCAGATAGCCCATTTTTGACAACTCAGCTCTGGTGAGTAATTAGGTGCCGCCACATTTTGTGGACACAGTTTCAACTTCCAAAGGGAGGAAGCTTCTCAGTTATGCAAATCTAGACTGTGTTACAAGCTATGCAGAAGGAGGTATATCTCTACACAGTGAGCGCTATAGAGTTCAATGGGCTGTATTTCAAACACCAGCCACCAGATGATTAGCCACACGCAAATTTCCACGCACATGGGACTTGTTCCCTCTTAGTGTAAAATGGTGGACATATGGAGACAGTTAGAGATGTCTTGTATATGACTATAAAAAATTGATATAGCGGACTCATGTTTCTCTGCATACATGGGTGGAGAACTCCGCTTCGACATGTACCAGCCAGAGCAGATCACATCAGCAGAGACAGCCAGAGCTGAGCAAGTCACTGCGAACATGAATCAAGTCACTTCAAACACGACTAAAAAACTTTGAGGAGGATTTACGATTAAAGGACCTCCAGACTCGCAAAATCGAATTTGTGCTGAACTACTAATAACGCTTTATCAAAGCAACCATCTCGAAATCTTAACGTCGATGACTGAAGGATACATAGGCACCGCAAACGTTTAATTCAAAAAGTGCCCCACCCTTCTGAAGAATCAGAACTGAAGTTTAGCTAATTCACCAGGGTCACTGTGATTAAGATGGGGAGAGTCACAGGTCACATTCAGAGCAGTCATGCGCTGACCGAATAAATCATCTTACATAAACAGGACCGCCAGCATGGTGTCTCTGTCATCTGCATTCTTATTTCACACTGCACTCAGCACAAAGAAAGCAAGCGATCCTTATTTATTCTTAAGCACCAGCATGAGTGGCAGAAATATTCATTGTGCATAGCGAATTCTGTTTCAAGTTTGTTTTTCATCATCAATGCTATTTTTTCCCCCCAAATTCCCTCCAACTCGCACTCTCTGTGATCTGCCCTGTCATCTTACACACTGACTGATGTGTTGAGTATCTATGGAGGACGTCCAGAGCTTTCATATCCCAATTTCCTATAGGGATATGTGGAAGAAAGAAAATAACAACAACACCCTGCTGGAAGATGCAAACTTATTATCATAGACAAAAATGTTGAAGAATATTTTCCTTTGCGAGCCCATTAAAAGATTCACTTGAGACACGATTTCAGTCGCCCGGCCCTCCGTTCCCATCCGTTCAAATTAGCAAACAACAAGAACAACTAGCCAGGAAACTGAAAACAGATAGCGGACGATGAATTGGTAAAGAAAATCAATCGCATCGTATTGGACTAAAGCGGCTGTAGATAAACACTGTTCTATTGATTTTAGAAGTGTTCTACACGCCAGAACAGCAAATTACCCATATCTTGGAAAAATAGGCTTTAACTCCAGTCATGCTTTTCTTGAGAATATTTTTTTTTTTCAGTTCAATTGTCTGAAAGTATAATTTTTGGAGGTATTTATGTGGTATGCCATTATTGAGGTAAAAGCATGATGGAGGTTCATAAATCACTCTTGGGTGAAATTAATCATGTGCATGTGCTAATCAATGTTATCCTGCTTCATCTCCTGCGAGCAAACACAGCTTTTACTGGGCCATTGTCATGTCAGGTGACAGATAGCTCTGATCTAATTATCATACAGAGACTACTGAAACATTTGCATACAGGCTTCCTCACTATCTGAGAACGCACAACTCTCAAACTATTAAGACTGTCAAAGTGTTCAACTTTTGATCAAAAAAGAAATTCTATTGTTTGTTAGAACATCATATTTTAAAATCGGTTTGTTTGAATGTAGCATGACAACTATGACAAATTGCAATTAAAATGCTTTTATTGTTTTGTGTTTTTAAATAGATAAAAAACTCTCAGATTGAATTAAAATGGCCATGATAAAAACAACAAATAAGCACTTGATTCTCCATCCAGTTGTTATGTTGCATTTTGTCAAAGAATTTCAGCAAGTCAAAGGTCATATGGCCTTACTATCTATCTGTACAATTTGGCAATCTATATCTGAACCCAAACAGAATTGCAAGCATTTTCTAACCCTTTGATTAGGTGACATATGATAACATTCAAATTATACGTTTGTATTTAAAAAATCTGTTGCATGTTGTAGGCTTTCCATTATCTTTTAAAAGACCCATGTTTAACATAAAAATAATAATAAAGGAGAACTGAACTGAAACTTGCATATCGTTGCATCCAGTATGCTATTAACTAACATCAACTTGAATAAACCCATCTATCAATTTCCTTATTACTTCTCAAAAATATTCTTAACATTAGAATGGTCATAAATGATCAGGTCTGTTGTTTATTACGTATATGGCCTCAAATCCAACCAAAGTACGAGTAGAACACCTTAGAAGAAACCATATCTTCTGAAGACCACAGTTGTTCAACCAGTATTTGCCAGACTAAGATTTATTACAGTGTGTCAAATCCAGCAATTTAGTGGATTAAAAACTGCATTGCCGCAATGACTATATTTTTGTACAAGTACAAAAAAATAATAGCCTAACATTAGCAAAAAAGCCCATTTTAGACATTTTTGCACCTACTGTGGTTCTTCCTCAGAATAAAATCTGAAGAAGTCCTGGAATTTATGAATAATTTACATAATATAGAACAACTTTAATCAATCCACCAAAAAATCTACAGGTGCCTGACATAAAAGGCCTTGAACAGTGCTACAGTCTGAACATGTTCCCACACCTTTTGATCATTGAATTCCCATGACTTCTCCATTACTTTTTCAGTCATTCATAATTACTGGATGAGGATTTTAAAATAATTGTATAGAGATTGTACTCGCAAAGAGTAATGTCTATCATATATATATATATATGACTTTTTCAGATCAAAAAAAGAAAAAGAAAAGTTTTAACAGGCCTGACACTGAAATACAATGAATGCTGGAACAGGGTAACAAATAAATACAATAAATACACTTATTGTTTGGTGTTATCACCTCCGGGGAAAAAAAGGCGTTGAAACGAAAATAACCAATGCCATTACTTTCTGCCATGTCACACAACAGATGGACAGTGAATAAACTGTACAAAATATCAACCCACTAAAACTGAAAAATTAAGTTTAATAGCTAAATTGTTAAGTAAAACCATCAGGTCACAATATACAGTGATACATTCATTGCACCTTTCCCCTCTTTGAATTGAATTACTTGTTAAGAAAATCAAGTTGAAACCATTAAAAAAATATGAAAAAGTTATTATTTTGTCAAGTTAAATGGAACAGATGGAAACAAAGATGACAACATTTTTACAGTAGGTTGTAGCTTATAGACAACTACAATAGTCCAAACTTTCCTCAAGAAATCATATTAACATTTTGCATTAGCCTATAATATTAAGTTACGCATTTAAATAAAACAAGAGTAAATAAACAGCAGTTCCAAGAGGGTCCTCGCACCTGGTTGTTAAGGCCCTAACGACACTATCGCGTGCAGTATTATATCTGGGCGTGTAAAACTAAAAACAGGAAATTGGAAATAAAATGAACAGGAAATAATATGGTACAAATGTTTTGATGCTATGATACATATCACGCTGCGATACAAATCACTTATAAGCTTAGTAGTTTGCAAAAAAGAAAAGAAAAAAAGTATCCCGGCAAATTTTGACAGCCATCATCATCATCCACGCGCATCCATGAAAGTCAGTCTACGGCATAAGCAAAGGTCTAACTGTTGAGGTCACACAGCGCGTGCATGTTAAATGCAGAGCCGTTACATTAAACGCAAAATGAGGTAAGTAGGCTACAGTTAATTTCCTCCACTCACCTCAGTGCTGAGGAGTCGACAGTAGTCCTGGTTTTGATGTGTATCCTCTGAGCGCTGTGAAGACACTACTGTGTGGACTCAGGACTGCCTGTGTCTCCCTCTCCCCTCCACTGTGCGGAGCATCTCTCTCTCTCGCTCTCTCTCTCTCTCGGTCTAAGCGACAGAGCCGCTGATTGGCTGTCACATAGCGCGGTGACTGAGAGGGATCATGAACATTAAGGGATGCGAAAGTAGTTTGAAAATTAAGCCTGCGTTATTTGATATCGTCGCGTCTGTTTGGAGATTTGGGTCACTAGCTACTATTACCTCTACTTTAATTCAGTTTATCATGAATCTATTTTTTTGGCCATAGAGGAAAAATGAGGAATCATGAATCTATTTTTTATGGCCGTAGAGGATACATTTTATTTATGAAATAAATTATGAAAGTTCATCTTACCTGGCTTTTAATAGATATTTGTCAAAAAATAAAATAAAAAATAAAAATAAATTAAATCCTGTCATTTACTCCTCATATTCATGTTATTTTAAACTTGACTTATTTTCTGAAGAGCTCAAAAAGAGATGTTAGGCAGAATATTAGAGATGGTCCTCACTGCAGAACACGAAATCCAGGGGGAGGAGTTGGATCCAGATCCAACTCCTCCCACCTTACATATACCTAAACCTACCCATCTCCACCCCCTGATCCCTAACCCCACCCCTAATCCTACCCATCTCCACCCCTTGATCCATAACCCCAGCCCTAATCCTACCCATCTCCACCCCTTAGATCTGGATCCAACTCCGCCCCCTGGATCTCGTGTACTGCAACGAGGTGCTACTGGAGAATTTGGGACTGGCTTAGTCATCATTCACTTTTTTCTCAATAGGCTATAATGAAAGTGAATGGTGACTGAAGCTGTCATGCTTACATCTCTTTTTGTGTTCCACTGAACAAAGACAGTCATATGGGTTTGGAACAACATGAGGGTGAGTACAGGACCAGTTTTTTTTTCTGAGTGAACTATCCCTTTAAGTCTTCAGAAACATGTTATGTGAGATGGAGAACAAGCTTTTTAGTTCATTTTTCAAAGACTCTGACTTGGTGTCATAAATCTGTTGACCATGTGAAGCAGTTGTGGGCATGAAGCCTATTTTACATTGAAGTTTTACCATCCATATATTTTTTCTGCTGAGAATCAAAACCCCCACAATACCCCAGCTGACTTCATTTCCACTATGATGCTTTAGCACTTTTCTGATTTGTGATAAAATAATTACTGATGTATGACCTCTGGTTATAGAAGCAGCTGTACAGTTAGTCTCCTCAATAAAGGAAATGCATCAGGCTGTCTATACCAGAATTATTCTTTTATTTACATCTAACTATTGTGTTCTTGGCATTCTTGCATTTAACTGAGCTCTAAATGAAGGTTTGTGAGAAGCATGTTTATCTAGTCCAGTCAGTCAAAAGAATATATAAGCAGTTGGTCAGCTCACTTCACTGACAATTGTTCTCCGGCATCCTTTATTTTGTATACTGAATATTAAATGATGTAGTCTCGGGGGGGAAACTTGGAGTTTGAACGCTCCATTACGGACAGCAAGCCGAATCAGTTTACTCTTACACTACCATTATTAAGTAGATCAGGGGTTACAAACTCAAAAGACTTGGGGGCACTAGCTGAACATTTGAAAAAACAACAAAAACAAATGGTTTACAACCATTACAACATTTTATCTATATAAAGTTATGGGCACATTTATAGTTAACTGACAAACTGGCATGTGTGTACAGGCTTGTGTGTTGCTGTCAACTAGACTTTTTCAAACTTGGGTCCAGGGGCCAAAAATGTAAATATGTAAGAAATATATATATATATATATATATAATTTATTACAGTTTTATATATATATAATATACAGTATATAGTATGTACTATAAAATACATACATATAGTATGTACATCCAACGCTACAGTAAGAGTAAGAAAAAAAGATTGTAATCAACATGCAAAGTATCTCCATATAATATATGAAAAATTTTGCTAATTAATTTTAAAAACATTTTGTCTTCATAATATCACACTTAATTTTAAAGCTGCCTTTATTTTACAGAGAGGAGTCCCAGTTGCATGGGAACGGTCATATTTGACAAATATAAAAACTAGAGATTAATTGATTCTAAGAATAATAAATAAATAGGTGTTTAATTCCAATAAACCAAGTTGTACAATTTGTATCTACAATGTAACACTTTTTTTTTTCAAAAGTTGTAAATAAAACAAAGATTATTGGAGCATGTTTAAGTCTTTCTAATTCAATTGTTTGTCTTCAGAAGTTACTTGCCGTTTACTTGCAATTATTTGTGTAAAAAAGTAAATACTGCACTATTTTTTCCCCAGTGTAACACTGATCAGAGGTATTGGCCGGCTTAAGAACCCTCAAAGACAATAATGTTAAACATAACTTGTGAATTGACTTGCTTTGATAACGTAAATAGCTAGCTATGCATCAAAAGTCAAGCCCTAAAGTCAAAAATCACATACCATGTTCAGTCATCAGTCAGACACCCCATGAAACCTGGTCACACTTTAACAAAGTCAGCCCCCTTCCTGTTGACTCCTCCAACAACTCCTAAACACAATGGGAATTCCTCTAGGCCTGATGATGGCTCATTAGCTGGTCTGTTAGTGGGGGCACAGAATAAAGTTATTGTTTAAGCAGATTTATGACTCAGCATTTAAAAACAGACTTGAATGATGTGAATTTTTTCATTGCTTTGCTCACAAGACCCTGAGACATTTCACAACATCAGAAGACATTCTAAAAATTGACTTGAAAAATTGAAAAAAGAATGACCGAAACAGCACCAAAAATTTGAGTTACCAGGAATGTGACAAGTGCGCTTACAGGCATGATGCTTGACTCTGGAAATGGCATGCGTTTACACACACCAGCTGAATTCTAACTGATGAAATCCTGACATGACCTAAATGTATTCTTTGACATGGCTGATGCACATTCCACTTGACTGCTGACAAAGCAAAAAGTCTTGCTCAAGTCAGCGTGAATAAATCTATAAATGCTTGTGTGTGTATAAAAATGGAAAAAATGGGAAAAAGTGCATATATTCAGTCATACACTTAATGCTGTATGTGCATGTGAATTAAAGAAAATGTTTGTTATGTATAAATAGACTACTACTAATAAAAATGGTTTTGAACCGGCCTAATACTGAAAATTCTCAATCTTCCTGTCTCCAGTCTCATGCTAACAGACATTACGGCTGTAATGTGAAGATGAGTATGAATATGTTGACGGAGGGCGGATGGATAGCACATGCCCTATTGTAAAGAGCCAATCACTCAGCAGATGTTTATGTTTATGTTGCATTAAGTGTTATCTAATCTAGCATGGCTACAACACACACTCCATCACTCATTAATTTAACTATGAAAATATCATGTGGGGATTGTAATGAAGCTGAGTTTCATCCAAACAATATATATATATATATATATATATATATATATATATATATATATATATATATATATATATATATATATATATATATATATAACCAATCTACATGGGTTAAAAAAAAGTCTGTTGTTTCGTTTTCTAATCCAGGTCTGCCAATATGAATATTTTAAAGGATTTCACCGAGGCTTAGGACAGCAAACGATAATCCGCTTTAAATCAGTAACAGCATATTGGCTCAGGCTTATACCTTATACCACCCAAGACAGAGTCAAGGAGCAATGGGTGCAATGTAAAATAATAAGCAGCCCAGATATGTCATGGAATGCCGTCAACATTTCAAATTGGGGGTGGGGGAGAAGTGCACAGAGCAAGCAGAAGTTTTGTATAACATACATAATTATGGTGATGACTTCTTGCCACATCCGAGTCTCCATGTTTCCGATTGCAAATGTCTGAATTTCTTTTAATGAATGTGGAAACTTCAAGGACATCTTATTTGCATGTCCTGTAAGGCTGGTGTGTTAAAGAGAGGAGCTGTAAAGTTTCTATTCCCTGAGGATCCAAATGTGAGTCATTTGAGGCCTAAGAAAGTAGTCCCGAGTGCTCTTGCTGAGCATGGCAAATCACAGGGGTTGACCCGTCTCCCCCACTGGAATGTGATTTCCACCCTCAGCAAGAGAGCAGATCCCAAAGACCCAGGGCAACATCACTACAGCAGGGGGAAACATTTATTAGACGTGCTTCTCAATAGACTTTGTCATGTTGCATTTATAGGGCAACTCTCGTGGGGAAACAAGAGTGAAAGAGACAAACACTGGCCTAAACAGTTCAAGAAGGACATACAAGTACGTGTGTGTGTGTATGTGTGTGTGGGTGTATTTTCAAATAAAAACGACCAAAAATGTAGGGTAACTTTGCAATAACACAATTCGTTGACAATGTATAAAAAACTAACAATGAACAATATTGTTACAGCATTACAACTTAAAGGTGACCTATAATTCAAAATTGAATTTACCTTGGTATAGTCAAATAACAAGAGTTCAGTGCATGGACATGACATAGAGTGAATCTCAAACTGGACTGTTTTCGCGTTCTCATTTAATTCACGTTTATGAAAAACACCCCTGAAAAACGGTCGGTTCTCCACACAATACCGACTGTGACGCAATAGTCGGGATCATTAATATGTACGCCTCCAAATATTTGCATAATGCCAGCCCTCAATGCCAGGCGGAACTGCGCAGCCGAAGCATGGCAGTTGCTCAGTGTGGATGTACACATGAACACAAAAGTATTTTTTAGTTCCTTCATCTGAGCCTCTGAAGAAACAATGGGTTAATTTTATTTTCTCTGGAAATTTCCAAACATTTCACCAACTGTTTCCTCAACTTGGGCCAATACAGAGCTGGCCTCGGATCGAGCTACCAAGCAACACTTTCTGATGTGTAATCGTTCAAGTTCAGACAGGTAATCTTTCTCTCAAAATCGTTCAATACTGTTTATGCATCAGTAAGTCAAGCCAGTGACTAAAATATCAGCTTCACATCGTTTCTTTTATTAGGATGAAAATAATCGTATTTATATTGTGAACAAAATGTATACAGAAAGCGATCAAAGAACAATCTTTCCACACAGCGCGAG